GACCCCTGCCTATTTAGTTCTATTTAGTCATCAAGCTGAGAATTTTATTCTCCAGACCTCATAAGTACTGTCTGGCTGCAGTAGGGTTGAAGTAAGGTTGTTATTGTTGCTAAGTACCGTTGAGTTGGTTCCAACTCATAGCAATCCTGTATAGGATTTCCAAGGAGTGGCTGGTGAGTTTGAACTGCCAACCAGCCTTGAGGTTGAGTGCTTTTCTGCAGCGCCACACCAGGACTTCTTGAGTCAGGTTGTTAAGTGGCTGTTCCTAATTTTGGCTGCACATCCAAATCACTTGTGACAGTTTTTTAAGGTATAGATCCCTTCCCATTCAGACCTACTGATCAGAATCGCATTAAGCGACTATGTGAGGAATGAGGTGTATGATTGTTTTATGTAGATTCTTCAGGTGATTCTGACTGCAGCCACCTACTGTATTAAGCACTGCCCCTGCCCCTGACATACACAGACAAAAACATTAAAATTTAGAAACGGTTTGGAGGACAATATCCTCAAAAAAAAAAGAAAAAAAAAAACACACACACAACAATCCCTGAAACAGTAACTGGGTAGCCAGGCTCCAAAGCCTGCTGAGCTGAGCAGCAGCCAAGAGCAAGGTTTGGTGTTTACATGCTTAAAATCAGTTCTGGGTTGTCACAGCAACTCACCAGGCACACTTCCTTCCTTCCTTCCCTCCCCATTTGCAGCTTCACTCCAGGCCCTGCTTTTCTCTGGTAGGGTCTTAATGTTCTTGGTAACCTGGCCTGCTGCAATCTTAGTGTTTTTTTCTCTCAGTTGCTCCATCTTATCATATGTATACTAGTATGCAGAAATTTCATCTGTATTAAATCAACAACTCACACTTCCCAAGATATACCTAAACCAGGAGAGAACCAAAAAAAAAAAAAGGCCTTTGAGTGACCAAAACAGATGTTACCCAAAGCCCTTGCTCTGAGCTTACCTCTGTTTTTTACACCTTTAAATCAAAGTTAGGGTTTCTAGGGTCTACAGTAAATTAGAAATAGGAATAGGTACTATTCTTGGCAGGCACAATGAGAGCTCAAGAAGTGACTGTTTATCCCTGAATATCAAGGATATTCAAGGAATGGACCAGAAAACCTATATGAAATGGATACAGAATTCAGAACTGGGGTCAGAGAAAACTGTTTTATACACCTTGGTGATGGTGGTTATGTGCTGTGGAGTCGATTCCGAATCATATAGGATTTCCGAAGCTGTAAATCTTTACGGGAGCAGAAAGCCTCACCTTTCTCCCTTGGAACAGCTGGTAGTTTAGAACTGCTGACCTTGCAGTTCGCAGCCCGATTCATAACCACTACGCTACCAGAGCTCCTTTTTGTACACCTTAGTAGGTCATAAAGCCACTTTGACTTTAAAATAGCTGTGATCCAGATAACTAAGAAAATGTCCAATTATATTCAATTTAAGGAGACAGAATAATGTGTTATATTTTCCAATGTAAAATATTCCAGATGGGGTTAAGGGTTTTAGTGCTTAAGAAGGTAAATTCTTAGCAGTCCAGAAAGGTTTAGATAATTAGGACCTATCCCATTATGTTGCTTCTAAGGAACTCTGGTAGCGTAGTGGTTACGAGTCAGGCTGCTAACCTCAAGGTCAGCAATTCAAAACTACCAGCTGTTCCGCAGAAGAAAGATGAAGCTTTCTGCTTGTGTAAAGATTTACAGCCTTGGAAACCCTATACAGGATCACTGTGAGTCAGAACCAACTCCACGGCACACTACCACCACCACCCATTCACTTATACCTTTATTCCTAAAAAATTAAAACCTGGTTAATACTTTCCAAATCTCTGCCTATGTGATAATCAGAAATATCTGAAACTTGATACTATTATTTGCATATTCATCTAACTGTGAAAGGGTCATAGATGTCTCCCTCTTCCTTGAGGTAGTAAATCTGTATCACTTTATCTCAGCCAGCTAGAAAATATGCCATTACATGCCACCCCCATCATATGCTCCATAAACTATACCTGGCATGTAGTAGACTTTTAGTAAGCATTTGTCAAGTGAATGAATGAGTGAGGAATGGACCATCTCAGTATGTCTATAGAATTAACACCATGAATGAAACTATAAATTTGATAGAGTCTAGCCATTATGGGAACAGTGATCAAAGAACACTGGCAAATCCTGGCATCAGGAATATCAAATGCTTGGATACTGTTTTTATAGAAAAGCTAGGATATATAAATACCCAGGCTGTGATCTTAAGTTTTTTAAAAAAGAAGATAATGTATGGGGGAAGAAAGACTTGAAGGATGTACGCCAAATCTACTGTTGCTATAAATATATCTTTATCCAATAACCTATTCATTCACCAAGTAATAGAGCTCTTCCATTTTGTCTGATTCTGCTCTGAGCATTGCAGAACTAACCAAACAACTCACAACAAAGTCTACTGCTAGTGAGAAAGAGAAACTAACTGCAGTTTAAGATTTAAAAGCAGTAATTGCAGCAGTTGAAACCCATGACCAACTTGGAGAACACTAATTGTGCAATGATAAGATAGGTAAAATGTCCTTCAGAAAATCAGTAGGGAGTGTACTTCTTCCAACATGCACTAACACAGTTGGAACGTTGCAAACTCATCAGCCAGACTTTATAGAATACTCACTGTGAGTAAAATCATGAAACAGGCTACTTTTAGTTTAGGGATGCCAAATGTTACTGACCCTTTTTAATACAGGCAACAACCCTTAGAAGCCCTGGTGGCACAGTGACTAAAGCACTCCAGTGCTAACCAAAAGGTCAGCAGAACTTGGAAGATGTGCCAGTCTACTTCCATAAGGATTGTTGTTAAGTGCCAGTGGGTCCATTCTGACTCTTAGTGACTCTGTATAGGGTTTCCAAGGAGCGGCTGGTGAGTTTCAACCACTGACCTTGTGGTTCAAGCCGACCCTGCGGTCCACTGCTTTATCCCACAGCGTCACACTAGGACTCCATAAAGACTGTTGTTATGCCATCAAGTCTGTACCACCTGCCTCATAGCGACCCTATGCACAACAGAATGAAACACTGCCTGGTCCTGGACCAACCTGGCTGAACTTATTCCAACACAGATCTGTGGGTTCTTTTGGCATCCCATGGCACTTTTCAGTATTTTCCTCCAACACCATAACTCAAAAGCATCAATTCTTCTACAGTCTTCCTTATACACTGTCCAGCCTTTGCATGCATATGAGGTTATTGAAAATACCTTGGCTTGGATCAGGTGCAAATTAGTCCTCAAGCTGACATCTGTGCTCTTCAACACTTTAAAAAGGCCTTGTGCAGCAGATTTGCCTAGTGTAATACATCATTTGATTTCTTGACTGCTGCTTCCATGAGTGTTGATAGTTGATCCAAGAAGAATGTTGTCTATTGGTCCAGTGGTGAGAATTTTTGTACAGTTGGTCACCTTCAATTCATTATATCATTTCAGAAAATTTTAATTAAGAAATTTCTTGGCAGTATTAATAAGCTATGAATAAAGCCTAGTTTTATATTGCCTCAGTATAGAATTAATATCTTCAGGTCAAAATTTGTATTTATGGAAAAAAACTTTTTCAACAGAAGGAGAGTCAAGAATGGAAAAGGGCTTGTTGTTACATTGTGGGAATGACAATGTCATAAAACAAATTATGTAGGAATTATTGAATGGAAAACTCATTTTCCTTGAAACCTTTCACCAAAGTCACAATAAAAAGCTCAAAAAATAATAATAACTGGATGGTAACCAGCTGCCACTATTGGACATTTTGATCAAAAGTTCTATAGAAGAATCCTGATCAAAGAGGGGAAATGCACAAGAGAATTGCAAATTCTTATGGAATTCAGATTTTCTGAAGCCTGGAGTCTAGATGAGTCCTCCCACCCTGAACTATTACCCTGAGATTATCTTTAAGCCATAAACCAAATATAGTCCCTGAAGTCCTCTTAAAACCAGTTACTTAAGCTGGTAGCGTAATGGTTATGAGTTGGGCTGCTAACTTCAAGGTTAGCAGTTCGAAACTACCAGCCATTCCATGGGAAAAAGATGAGGCTTTCTGCTCCCATAAAGATTTACAGCCTCGGAAACCCTATGCAGGGTCGCTATGAGTAGGAACTGACTCCAAGGCACACCACCATCAGTAAAAAATGTCTGCCTTGAGCATTATGTTCTTGTAAGAACTATCTACAGGAGTCTTGATGTGATGCTGTAGAATAAGTGCTCGACTGCAAAGTCAGCGATTCAATCCCACCAGCAATGGTGGTGGAAACCCTAGACAGGGTCACTATGGGTAAGAATTGACTTGACATCATTTAACAACAACAAGGCCCCTATCTAATCTTCTGAGTTGCTTTTGTGAATTTGATCCACCTATATTGTTGTTTAAAGGAGCTCTGGTAGCATCCTGGTTGTGAGTCAGTCAGTAGTTCGAAACTACCAGCCGTTCCGCACAAGAATGATGAAGCTTTCTGCTTGCGTAAAGATTTACAGCCTCAGAAACACTATACAGGGTCACTCCATGGACTGGCTCCATGGCACATAACCACCAACACATTGCTGTTAAGTGCCACTGAGTCAGTTCTGATTCTGTAGTGAGTTTCCAAGGAGCAGCTGGTGAGCTTGAACTGCCAACATTACAATTCAAACTGACTTTGCGCATTAACCTATAGCAGCACACCAGGACGTTAGGGGGGCAATTTAATGGGGGAGGAAAAGGAGGGTGATTGCGCAACTCAAAGCTGAATCGGTGCCACTGAATTATACATGTGGAAACTCTTGGTGACATTTGCTCCTATATTCTTAACAACAAAAAATCATTCTTTTTAAGTTTCATTTTTGATGAAAAACTTAGTTCTTGGGGTACTATTATTTTTTCTGTTGGCATTCATATAATGTGTTTTTTCCTTCCTAGGCTGAGTTTCATGCTAGATAAACTTTGAAAACAGTACTGCACCGGGCACAAGTAACCCTGTTTTCACCTTTCTCTCTAGGTTACCCCTTGGCTTTGTTTTATCGACATTACCTTTTCTACAAGGACAGCTACCTCATCCATCTCTTCCATACCATTACAGGCCTCTCGATTGCTTATTTTAACTTTGGTGAGTGGACTTAGTTCTTAGTTAGCAGCGACACTATAACAGAGGGAACCTGGACTTAAACAGACATGAACAAGATCAACACAATGCCTCACTTTCTTGTTATCCTCTTAAGTACATTCATTTCTCAGACGAAGAATTTTGAGAGTGGTATCTCTGCCAGACCCATCAACAGAGAAGCATCAGTTTCTCTGTGCTGTGGCTAGACCTGAATGACAGATCCAGGCAGTCCCCACTCAGAATCAGTTCTCAGTTCAAGCATTCAGAAATACAATAACACCTAGATATCCCTGATATTTATACAAGTATTTCCAACCTACTAAAGAAAATCTACTACCTACCCAGAAACTAAAAACTCATAATAAAAACCATTTGGGAGAAAGTTTAACTAATTAGATAAGCTATATAGCTAATGTACAGAATGCAGATTATACCTACTTAATAAACCAATCCCAACTAAAGCCCCACTTTGACATAGCCTGCCTTCTGCCAATAAATGAATGACAACCAGTCTTCTTAAATTCCCCTTTGGGGAAATTCTCCTAACAGTTTGTTCTGTATATAAACTGATCAGAGTTGTAATGTGAGGTGCTCATGGCTTCAGGGGGTGCTCCTTGGATGGCTACTCCCTGTTGTTGAACAGTCCTTTATGCCTAATAAAACATTTATAATTCTAATTGACTCATTGATCAGATTTTCCTTTAGTCAAACTTTTCCTCCAAAACATGAGAGTATTCTGGGGAGAGAAAAAAAAAAAAGTTATTGCTGTATATATTCTTTATGGTTAAAAGTCTCAGGAAGGGTGGGAGTGCAAAGGGGGGGAAAAAAACAGGCTCAAATGTCCCCACTTGTCTGTATCTAGGAACTCAGCTGTACCACTCCCTGCTATGTGTTGTGCTTCAGTTCCTCATCCTGAGACTGATGGGCCGTACCATCACTGCCGTCCTCACTACTTTTTGCTTCCAGATGGTAAACGTCTTTTCCTTGACAATGCAGTTACTTTGGGCCACAGCTGACAGCAGTTAGGGGAGGGAGGCTGAGGGCATGGGATAATAAAAGCAGTGAACTAGGAGACATCATTTCTCATCTCCTCTCCTAACAGTTCTCAGTAGTGTGACTTTGGGAAGACCGCTTTTTATAGGCCTCAGGGATTTCACCTACAAATGCAGTGGAATGCTTTACCTGCCTCAGAGTGGGTAGCTAGCTAATCTTTTGTGTAGTGCTAATTAGGTTCTTTGAGTCTGACCAAGGTAATCTCAGCTGTACGTGAAGGGTGTCACTGGGTGTCACTTAAAGGCAAAGCAGAAAACCAACTCAGAATGAACTAAGAATCTAAACATCGAAATTCTGATCTTAGCCCTCATTTTACTGACAACCCTTGAACAAGGCTCTTCCTCCCTGTATAGGTTTGGCGTCTCCATTCATAGTGTGTTTTTAAGACTTGATGGTATCAGATAAAAAGGAAAAGGAAATATACTGAATTTCAGAGCAGAATAAAATAGTAATGATGGTAGAATAAATACTGTCCCCTCTCCTAGATCTACCTTCTGGCTGGATATTATTACACAGCCACAGGCAACTACGATATCAAGTGGACAATGCCACATTGTGTTCTGACTTTGAAGTTGATTGGTGAGTGGTGGGTCACTGCCTTCCCGTTGGCACTGGGCCCCCACCCCAGCCCACCCCTGCCTTACACTCCTGGCTGCACCAGAGCATCCTCTCCCTCTGCTTTACCCAACCCTCCTCTCTCTGCACAGGCTTGGCGGTTGACTACTTTGATGGCGGGAGAGACCTGGTGAGTACTCGTTCTTCTGCAGAGAGCCAAGGGTTTTAACCAGAGGGAAGGAGAAAGAATTTTTATAAAAAGATAGAACCAGATTCCAGGGGCATAACTTCTCCCCATTCCCCAGCCAGTGTGACTACCTTGTTCTAGATAGCACTGAGCAAGGATCAGTAAATCTAATTTACCCCAGATCCAACTCTTGTGCAAAGTCCAGAAATCAATGCCAGCACAGCAGTTGGAAAAATAGCAACAGCCAACTGTTGCTAAGCTACCCCACACACATGTTCATTTCCAGGTGAAGCAACTGGTTTTTTCCATATCATCTCCCAAAGAGATGGCTATTTGAGGCCTCCCCCGCACCCCCCAGTTTAGTGAGGCATAGGGTGGGGAACACTCGAACTATCAAGGCTATCTTGAACCATTCATTTTCTTCTTGGCATAGAATTCCTTGTCCTCTGAGCAACAGAAATATGCCATACGGGGTGTCCCTTCCCTGCTGGAAGTTGCTGGTTTCTCCTACTTCTATGGGGCCTTCTTGGTAGGGCCCCAGTTCTCAATGAACCACTACATGAAGCTGGTGCAGGGACAGCTGAGTGACATACCAGGGAAGATACCAAACAGGTAATTGCCCCCTTGGTCAAGACCTCTGTGCAGGGGTCTTCTCCAATACAGAGCCACTGCTGAAGTGTCTTTCCGGAAAGCCAGTCCCAGCTGCACTTTCCAGCATGGCCCTGGTCCACAGCCCTGTGCCACATGAGCCCTGGACTACCGTGATGAGGGCACCTGTCTGCTCACTGCTGGGAGAAGACCCTCTTCAGCCTCATTCACTTCCAGCTACAGGATTTTACCTTAGCCACTCATGTCCCTATCTCTAAACCTATTTTCTCCTTTGAAAAAAAAAGTTTTTTTCAACTATTTCTTGTGAATTAAATTGAAGGTTTAGAGTTTCACATTCAAAATCATCCTGTTTCATTTCAGTAACTGCAGTCCCCTCCATGTAAGATCAGTTATCCTGCCTCTTCTCTGTGAGTCTTTCCATCTCACCCTCCTTCCCAACCCTTCTCAACTTTGTCCTTAGGTAAATGTAGCCCTTAAGATCTTAAATGGCCACCCATTCCAAGTAAACGTATCTTACTAGTGCTGTTGTCCCCTTTATGTACCTACCTACCATGTGGCTGAAAATTGGGCCACAAGTGTGAGTTCCATTCCAAATGAAGGGTAACCAAGAAGTCTTGGTTTCTCCAGTCTCTCTCTGACCAGTAAACCTGGTCTTTTTTTTTTTTTTAAGTTTTAGTATATTTATTGTATTTTCCACTGTGATATATACAGCCTCGGAAACCCGGTACTGGGTCGCTATGAGTCGGAACCGACTCCACGACATATAACCATATCACCATATGTATATATAGGGAGTCCAGATATGGTGCTGTGGGTTAATGCACCAGACTGCAAAGCCATTTGAACTACAAATGTGGTTCAAGCTCACCAGTTGCTCTTTGAAAACCCTATACAGGGTCACTATGGATCGGAACCGACTTGATGGCACTGAACAACAACAACAATATGTATATACAGGAGCACTAGTGGTGCTAAAGGATAGGCACTGGACTTCTAGTTACATGGTTAGTAGTCTGAACCCACCAGCTGCTCCATAGGAAAGATGAGACTTTCTGCTCCCACACAGATTTGTAGCCTCGGAAACCCTACACAAGGTCGCTGTGAGTCAGAACCAACTCAACAGCACTTAAGTACCTATGTGTGTATGTATGTATACATATACACAGTGTGCACAAAAGTTATCTTTTTATTCCATTACCTTATCATTCCATTTTTCCATGAACTTTTTGAAGCTCCCTCATATATATCACAGTGTAAAATTTCAATTACTAGACGAATCCCTTCACTGAGTACCCATGTTTCAGTTACAATCAACCAGGATAGGAAAGAGCAGATTTCAAATTGGTTACTGTTATTATCTCCTCTACCATAGGGATAGGAGTCCTGGTGTGGCACTGTAGGATAAGTACTGGACTGCTAACCACAGGTCAGCAGTTCAAACTCACCAGCCACTCCTCAGAAACCCTATTCAGGGTCACTATGAGTTGGAACCGACTCAATGACACGTAATAACCACCACCATAGGATAAGCACAGGACTATAAGCCACAAGTTCAGTGGTTTAAACTCACCAGTCACTCTGTCAGAGAAAAAATGAGGCTTTCTACTCTTGCAAAGATTTTAAAAGCCTCAGAAACCCTATGTAGGGTCACTATGGGTCAGAACCGACTCAACAACACTTAACAACTGTCATTTATTATCTGATCTACCTGGGGTTTTCAGACCCAGTGTAGTTTGGATGAGACCCCTGGTGAGTCCTTGCAGTCAGGAGTATCCCAAGTGGGAAGCTCCACACAACATACCACACCTGCTCCCCTTCCATTGCCTGTAAATTTCCTGTGTTGTTTTCACCATTCCTCCTATCCAAGCAGAGAGTCGCTGTCTTACCCTAAGTACACACTACAGACACTAGGACTACTACTCCCATTCCAGATGGATAATAAGCACACCTGGAACATGCCTCTCTATCATTTAAGCACAGAGGGTAAACATAGACTCTGTCCTTTGTGACCTCTTTTGTTCTTTCTAGCACCATGCCTGCCCTCAAACGCCTGAGTCTGGGCCTCATCTACCTAGTGGGCTACACTCTGCTCAGCCCCCACATCCCAGAAGATTATCTTCTCACTGAAGACTATGAGGTGAGTGGTCTTAAAGCAGCAGCAGTAAGTATGACTACACCAGAGACAGGAAACAGACAGGCAAGGATCCCTACAGATAGCAAATAAGTGTTTCACACCATCTACAAATGCCTGTTGGTTTTGCTCTAGATCTGTGAGAGTTGGTGTCAGTGCCAGCCAGGCCGGGCCATGGTCATCAGCCAGCATTGAACGACCTTCGTGGGCAAAGGGCTGTGCCAGGTGCACTTGTAGCACCCCTTCCCATCCTCAGGAGCACCTCCTAGTTTGCTTTATTGCACCAAGTGACTCCTTAAAACAGCCACTTCGAGTCCTCTCCAGACTATTTTCTTCTCCTGACTGATGGATCTGGAGGCTTCTAGGGAAACAGAAAATCAAGGGAAGGGTTAGTACTGGCTTTTACTTCTGCCCAGCTAAAAGACTTGCAACAGTTCCATAGCCATTCTAGGTAGGTGTCCTTAAAGTAACATTGAACTTGCAATATGTAAAACTCCTTCAATACTTATTGCTCCCAATGCTTGGTGGTGTGCCAAAGAAAGCATTCAATAGAAGAATTTAAGGACAGTGCTGTCCCTGGGACTCTCCAAGGAAAAGGAGGTGAATGGATGCTCACTGGGCTTCCATACTTACCCTTCTTAGCCTGTTATCTAGGAAAGTAAGCCAGACCATCAGAGAAGACATCTGGCAGGAGTATTGTGACAAGTGTGAAACAGTCAACCACAAGTTTGGAAAGGAAGAACACTAAAGGAAATGAGCCTTGCCTATGTGATCTCCCTAATGCACACACATTTTCTTCCTTCCAGAACCGCCCTTTCTGGTTCCGCTGCATGTACATGCTGATCTGGGGCAAGTTTGTGCTCTACAAATACGTCACCTGTTGGCTTGTCACAGTACGTAAAAACAAATCAGGCAAAATACAGATTAGCTGTGGGGAATGTGAGGAGGAAAGTAGTAAAACACTGACAGTTCTTCCTTCCCTCAGGAAGGAGTGTGCATTTTGACGGGACTGGGCTTTGATGGCTTTGATGAAAATAGAAAGCCAAAGTGGGACGCTTGTGCTAACATGAAAGTATGGCTCTTTGAGACTACTCCCCGCTTCACTGGCACCATCAACTCCTTCAACATCAATACCAATGCCTGGGTGTCCCGGTAAGCAACTGGAGGGGAGTTTGGTGCCCCATCTCCTTCCTTCCACTGTGTCCTCATATTTGAGGGCAGGCATTTTGTTATCTCTAAAGTGGATCTCTTTTCCCACTTGACATAGAACCTCCAATGCCTCCTGTACATACCTGCACACTTTCTTTTATCTCCCCACCTCTTTTTGCAAAAGAATTCCTACTATATTTTACAAACAAAAACAAGTACCTTGAGTCCCCAGGTTTTAATCCTAGCTCAGCCACTGGCTTTATGTTCTCCATTTCATTGTTTAAAAACATCTTTGTTTGTTTGCTTGTTTGTCCTACCACTAGAGATGTAAGCAGCAGAGAACTGGTCTATCCTGTTTACTACTGTGGCCCCAGCGTCAGGCACTCAGTAGGCACACAGTCATAATCTGTTGAATGAAGTGGCTTGCCCAAGATCACCCAGCTAAGCCTTGGGTCTGTTTTCTGTCTCTAAACTGTGAGTCGTCAACTTAACTGCTTTTCATCTCTAAAGCTAATCACGTAGCACTAGCACTTCCTTCCTTACCCTTGGTGGCCACAAGTGGGAGCCAGCTCCCCTCCACTTCTCAGAGCGCCAAGAACCTAGTGGCAGGATGCCAGAAATGCAAGGCCTGGTCTGAGATTCCTACCCACCCTTTTCTCCAGGTATGTCTTCAAAAGACTCAAGTTCCTTGGAAGTAAAGAACTCTCCCAGGGTCTCTCCTTGTTATTCTTGGCTCTCTGGCATGGTCTACACTCGGGATATCTGATCTGTTTCCAGATGGAATTCCTCATTGTTATTGTGGAAAGACAGGTAGGCCTCAAGGGTAGTGAGTGAGAAGGAAGTATGAGAAGGACAGTTTTGAGGACCCTTCTCCTTCTCCCCAGGCTGCCAGCCTAATTCGTGAAAGCCCAGCCCTAACCAACCTGGCCTCCACCACTGTCCTGCAACCCTTCTTCTACTTGGTGCAACAGACCATCCACTGGCTCTTCATGGGTTACTCGATGACTGCCTTCTGCCTCTTCACCTGGGAAAAATGGCTTAAGGTAAGTGGGGCCTGCTAGTGAGGATGGGAAGGTGTCAGTGACACCTCAGGTAGGAAGGGATGTTCCATCTCAAGCGGTCTCTCTCCTCCCTCAGGTGTATAAATCCATCTATTTTCTTGGCCATGTCTTCTTCTTGAGCCTACTAGTCATACTGCCTTATATTCACAAAGCAATGGTGCCAAGGAAAGAGAAGTTAAAGAAAATGGAATAATCTCTTTTTCTGGTAAGTAAAGTGTCCTAAAGCCTAAAACCACCACCTTAGAGAGTAGTGGACAGATCGGGAAAAAAAAAAAAAGATGCTAACTACCAACAAGTCAGCCCCAGACACAATGGAGCAAAAGGCCATCCAGTCCACAATCCCCATGCTTGTGTGCAGTTTGGACAGTGTTCTGTTGTGGTCCATAGGCACTGGCTGATTTTCAGGAGTATGTTGCCAGGTCTTTCTTAGGTAATCTGTAAACTCTGCTGAACCTATTCAGCACCACAGCCACATGTAAGTCCACCACTGGTCAATGGGTGGTTGCTGTGCATCAACTAGAAATCAAACCTAGGTCTCCTACATGGAAGGCAAGAATCCTACCACTCAACAGCCACTACAGCTAACGCACACTCCTCTACCTTGTACCTTTTTTGAAGGTTGTACAGTAGACATGTATTTGTATTGATAACTTAGAGTGGATTTCATGGTAGCCTAGCTACCGGGAAACACAATATGGCACAATGACAGTTGTAACTAAGGCAGACTAGGAAAATCCTGAAGGGCTTTAGACCAGGGACTAGGCGCAGCAACTCTAGCCAGTCTGCCAATCACATTTCTTCTCTTGCAGGTGGCCTCACAGGACTGGTGCAGAAACTGTCTGTCTCCTTTTTCACAGGACTCCCTCGCCCCAGAGCACAGAGAACACAGAAGCCAGGGAATGGGAAGACATGGCACTCTGCTGCCAGCCAAGTCTCTTCATTTGGGGCCAAAGGGGAAACTCTTGTGGGAGGAGTAGAGGGGCCCAAGCCCCCTCTGGGCTCCCCCATGCACGTTGCCTTATCTCTCCCCCTCTAGCCAGGAAGCTGTTGTTTTTCTTCTGCCAATTTACTATGATTGTATATGTGCCGCTACCACCCCCCCCATGGGGGGAGGGAAGAGGGGTACAAAGCCCCGCCTGCTCCACTTTTTCTACCTTGGAACTGTACCAGATAAAATCACTTCTGTTTGTTCAATTTTTTCACTGCTAGTTTTCCTGGCTGCCTTCTTTCCAGCACAGTTCTCCATACATAATCAGGGCTCTCCTTTTGTTAAGTGCCTTTGAATCTATATAGCATTTCCAAGGAGCAGCTGGTGGGTTTCAAACCGACCCTACAGTCAGTACTTACTTTTTAGTGCCACATCAGGACTCCATAGCACAGTAATCTAAATATGGAGCTAAAACTGAGAACACTGGAGTCTTCACCTGTACTCTGAGGAGAGCAAATCTTTTTATACCATTAGACACTACTAAGCTTGCTGTTACTGTTAAGTGCCATCGAGTCACTTCTGACTCATAGCAACCTGGTACAGGGTTTTCTGATACAGGCTGGTGAGCTTGAACTGCCAACCTTGCAGTTCAAACTAACTCTGCAGTCCAGCACATAAACCCACAGCACCATACCAGGTCTACTAAGCTTGTTGTTGTTGTCAGGTGCCATCGAGTCAGAACTGACTCATAGCAACCCCATGCACAGCAAAACGAAACAATGTCCAATTCTGGGCCAACCTCACCACCGCAGCCACACTCGATGTTATCAATGATGCCACCTGACTGATCCATCTCGTTGGGGGTCTTACACTTTTTCTCTGACCCTCCACCCTTACCTAGCATGACATCCTTCTCCAACGATTGTTTCCTCCGGACAATATGTCCAAAGTAGGAGAGACGAAGCTTAGCCATCCTGGCTTCCAAGGAGCACTCTGGCTGCACTTCTTCCAAAACAGATCTAT